TGATTATCTAGAGAATGATTACCAAATGCAACCTATAGAGTTGAAGTACATTCCATTAAAATAGACAACTCTTGTTTTGTATTGCTTTAAGTATGGAATAATAACAGTATTGCTCAGCTTTTTGAACCGAGCATCACTAAAGCTTTCTTGATTGTGTTACCATTGACATTCTATCTTCTAAAAACATTAGAAATTTGACATTTTAATCCTTCTTAATCTGTCTACAGTGATGCACTTGATCATAACATAGTGGAGTGAAGAATGTGTTTAAATAGATTTTATTTTGTTTCGTTTTATCATCACTCAATGTTTTAATTAGTTTCTAAGGAGTAATTTGTCACACATTTCTTTCATGCCTCCTCTTTGTGTGGTTGATTGCTTGGGGCCTGTGCCTGAGTGCCTTTGGTTTTCTCTGCTCTGTGCAGGATGGTCAGGCTGGTGGGAGATCCCGGTTGCTTGCAAATGAAGGCAGGAGATTCATTGAAACGTCAGACTCTGTGAGTGAACAATGTACTGTATATGTTTGTTGCTATACCTGAACATTAAATGAATTTCACCCACACCCAATTTTAAGGAGCTGTGTTTCATTAGTACTCTATATCGGTTATGTATTGAAAGAAGGACATGTCTGTGTTTGTGCCGGATATTAATTGCTATCATATATGAAAGTTGCACATACATGCCCGCTAGCAAGCTGTATTGTCAGTGGAATGTTGTAAGCTCTCTATCATCCCTCATGTACTATAATAGCATCATGATGAAAACTTCTGCATTTAACTTTTTTAATACAAGGGTGAATTCTTTGCAACATTTCCCCCACCTGCATGAAACCTCTATCGCTAAGATTGATAATGCTGGCTTGCTTTGTACTCCAAGGCTGTATCACAAAAGGATTAAGAAGCTACATGATAATGATTATTATTAGAACATGGTCTATTTTTGATGAGAATCAAGGGAATTTATGAAACCCCTTAAATGAATTATTGTTCTTCTTTTATTTTAATGATAGAGGTGGTAGTGTTGCAATAATCTCTACAGCCTCGCTAGGCCATACAGAAACCTTGATACACTTGTTAAGCATTACATAATTGGTTTGTCTAGGTTGTCTTGTGAAACAAATCACATCATTTCAAACATGAACTCCCAAAGCCATAACTTCTCTTCTGTTGTAGCTCAGGGTTCCATACTGGAACTTATTTTGCTTGACATTGATATGTTGTATCTTGGGGGTGCCCCTTATCAGCAGAAAATAAGACCTGGGCATAATCACCCATCCTCCTGTTAATTATTATGTTAATGTTTTAATTGAGTCTCAAGTAAGACCAATTATCAGAAAGGTGGGGTTTTTAATAGATCCTGGATTTCATTCCAATAAGGGAACGTTATAAAGATCACTAGAAGTAACTAGAAGTTATTTGATCATCTGGCTTGGTTCATTGCTATTTTCATTAAAATTGAATAATACGTAAGGGTGTATGTTAGGCTTTCTGTTTCGTGTTAAAAATGCTGATGAATTATAAAGTTTACTGGGCAACACCCCAGTAGCCCTTAATCCTGCTTGTCTAATGTATACAGTATCAGACTTGTTACTGGAGTTCCTTGCTTGCTGATTAGCTTGTGAATTACAGATAGATGGTCAATGCACGGGCTCATTAGGCCCATTGCTATGAAAGAAGCATGTTAATCTTGTTCTTCAAATCAGTTCTAGCTGCCAGCTTAGTTTTTCATTCAATTCAAAACTCTTTTGCTGGAATACAGGTCTTTACACTGTCCTGGTCAGGCATATCCCTGTGGAGTTGCTGGCACTTTTTTGTGTCTTGCATTCTAATGATGCTGAACACCGGACCATGTGTCAGTCCATAACTGTAGTACAACTCCCCTGTATTGTGGACATTTTTTCAACTTGACAATTGTGACCCGAAAAAATCTCCACAGCCAAAACATTGTGCTTCTTTTCTTCTCTTTTAAGCATGGAATAAGATAGAATAAGAAAAGATCACGTTATTGGCCATATACAATTTCTTGTATTAGGAATTTGTGTTTTTCGCATTCCCCTGCTTGCTCTCCATGAGACACACAGACAGGGAGAGAAGCTTGGGATCAGAGCACAGGGTCAGCCATTTATACTCTGTTGGGCCCCTGGAGCAGTTGGGGTTAAGGGCCTTGCTCAGGGGCTCAACGGAGTAGGATTCCTCTGCCGGCCGCAGGATTTAAACCGGCAACCTTCCAGCCACAGAGTCCAGATCCTGAGCCACAGAGTAAACCTTTACTTGTTCCTTAGCAGCCTACGCATGCTGACACAGCAACCTACTTGAGCTAATTTTTTCAACTCAGTGTTTCAGGAAGGATGGGAGTATCGCTAAGGATAGCAATCATCCTGGTTTCTCACTTTTCTCTCCCCTTCCCTCTGGTATGTGTTATAGGAGCATAAAAAGGCACGAACTTCCAGATTCAGAGATCCAGTTTCTTCCCACAAGATGTCAGATTACTGAACTCTACCCCTACCACTGGCTCACACTGAGGTTTTTTTTACTTCTTGTCTTCTCACAATGCTTATCTGTTTTTTTTAAGCTGTATGTTATTTAACTGTTGTTGTTGCTGCTGCTGCTGCTCTGTGTTGATGTTTTTGGTGTTTCCTTAATGTCTCTGTTTTGGAGCATGCATGGAAATAAGCATTTCATTGCACTTGTACATATGACAAACTGAACTGAACTGAATTTTCAACTGAAAACAGATAAAAGCAGATTCCACAGTTCCCGGGCCCTGCTTTTATATCAAGCCTGTGTCAAAGTCTGACTCACAACTTATTTATTTGGATTTTTATAAAGCACCTAGTTGTTTCAACTGAAGATGCAATGTAAATGTGCATTCTAGTGTATTCTTATTATCATTTCTATTGCTTATACAACTTAATTTGCTAATGTCATGCAGTCCCAATATTCATATCATGCTGTGACATGTGTCTCCAAGTAATCCATGGTATTATTTCTCATATTTATTTTTTATAAAGAAATCATGCATGGATAGAAAAACTAATGAAAGCATCCCTCAGAACTTCCATTCATTTCTAATACTCCGCCTTTCACCTGCTGCAAGTGGCTGGCAATTAGGGTT